CAGTTAGATTACAAAATTGATTGGAAAAGTCTTTGTTGTAACATAAAAGAATTGTGAAAATAAATAATTAGACTTCATACTTACAAAAATATATTAATAATGGTCACTTATGAAATTACCATTTGAACGTATTATTTATTTTAATTGCAATTACTTTCTAACTAATACTGCACTTTCATACATATTATATTCGTCCTATCAATGTTATTATCTACACTATATTCATTAGTTTATATAAACAAAATTTACAGTGGATACTCGCTTAACGAACATTTTGCTTAACGAGCAAAATAAATTGTAAGATAAATGACTCGCTTAACGTGCGACGTTTCGCATAACGAGTGACGATGAGAAGAGAAGTCCCAGATTTCGCACATATTATATATATTTTTTAATATGTTTCACTATACGAGTAAAAATCTGTAAAGTTTGGAACGTTTTAAACTCGTTAAGCGAGGTTCCATTAAGCAATATTAATATTTTTTAATCAATCATTTTTAAAAACTGATGTGTTTATAAAATGAATGGTTCTTCTTGTATTTTCATTTCTTCGCATTCATAAACATTTACCAGTACAGGTATCCACCGACTTACGAACTAGTTGTGGAAGAAGTACAAGATTATTTTGTTGCATTTGTTTCTTTTGTCCATTAAATAATTGTGATGCCTACATCGAAAAGGATTTGTAAGTAAGTATTTTCTTTATTTTAATCTATTTTTTCAAATTTATGCAGTCAGTAAAAACCATGATAAAGTGTGGTAAAATAAGTATATTTTGAATTTTTTTTTAATTTCCCCATTACTTACGAACAACCCTTTGGAACGGAACTAGTTTGTAAATCGGGAGATACCTGTATTTAAACACAATTTGTATAACATTATTGCTGCCATCTAGTAGCCTTATTTGCAAGATTATAGTTTAAGTATTTTAGCGCTCTTTCTCTTTCAAACTTTTAATTACTATAATTAACAAAACTCAATGCAAAGAAAAATTTTAATATTCACCCGTATCTAGCTAAGATCGGGTGGCAAGACTCCGACGAATGCGTTTGCGGGGTGGTATATAGGGTAGACCACTACTCCTTCGAATGTATCTCAAATCGGCAGGCTACTTTAAGACTTTTGGAAATGCTGATCCGATATAAGATCACACTACCAACCAACATAATTCCAGGCTCTGATTTCTACAGAGAAAACGAGAGTATACAGAGCTTTGCTTTACTTCATTAAGTACACGAACATAGATATAAAATTTTAAATGTTTAACTCCGACTCACTTATATTCCTCTCCTTCCGAGGTCTCCCCCGTCACCTTTGTGCCGAACCGCAGAGACCACGGTTTGAAAATTATTACTTTTTCTTACGCTTTGTTGCCACTTGTGGATTACAATTCTCTCCAATCCCATCCAGTAACTAATCTAGTAGCAGTAATGAACTTTTGTACAGTTAGGGTATTATAATAATAAAACAGTGGCCTCTACAGTGGTAAGAGAGATCATGAACGTGAAGAATCTGTGCAACAGCAAACCTTGGTTAGACATCGGTATTTTTAATACAAACTTTTTATTTTGTAAATAAAACCAATTCATTTTCTTAAATATTCAAGTACAGTGGTGTCGTGTCCCAGGATTAAAAAATCCTTGGACACCGTGGATTATCTCGTAGTTATGTCGTTGCAGAGTCTTAGAGGAGACACATCGGAGTTTTATTGAGAAGTTAACTAGTTACAATAGTTGATCTCAGAGATTATTACTAAGAGTTACATTCTCCTCTTAAGTTAGTATTTATGAAATAAGTGTTCTTCCTTGGACTCTCCCAAGTAATTCCAACTTCTCAGTAAGACCCCTCAGCTAAGACTTCCTCTCTATTCGGTGCCCCTGACTAAGACTAAATTATATAATACAAAAATGTGTTCATTTCAAAATGGGGCTGTGTGGGAGGTAAGGGTTTGTCCTTCTGGAAAATACAACCGTTTCTTTATCTAAGTTTTATGATCCTGCCCAAATATTTAGGGGCTGCAGAAGGCAAGTGGACGTAATACGTAATACAATAGACGTAACTATACGATTTAATGTGTAACCGTCTTTCGGAATATTCTAAATAATCACGTACAAGTATCCGTTTGTATATTTGATGAATACCTTAAATATGATTTGTAATAATTAAGAGGAAAGTGGTAGACCTAACAAATATACATATTAGTTATACCAAATATGGTAATAAAATGGTCGGCCACGATAGTAGAACCTCGTTTAACGAGTTTAATTCCGCTAATTTCCGGATTTTTACTCGTATATGTGTATACAAGTTTTAAAAATAGAGTAGCAGTCGCGCAATCCGGGACTTCTCTTCTCATCGTCACTCGATAAGCGAAATACCTCGTTATGCGAGTATTTATGAAGTGCTCTTCCTTGGACTCTCCCAAGTAAGACCAACTTCTCAGTAAGACCCCTCAGCTAAGACTTCCTCTCTATTCGGTGCCCCTGACTAAGACTAAATTATATAATACAAAAATGTGTTCATTTCAAAAAGGGACTGTGTGGGAGGTAAGGGTTTGTCCTTCTGGAAAATACAACCGTTTCTTTATCTAAGTTTTATGATCCTACCCAAATATTTAGGGGCTGCAGAAGGCAAGTGGACGTAATACGTAATACAATAGACGTAACTATAAGATTTAATGTGTAACCGTCCTTCGGAATATTCGAAATAATCACGTACAAGTATCCGTTTGTATATTTGATGGATACCTTAAATATAATTTGTAATAATTAAAAGGAAAGTAGTAGACCTAACAAATATACATATTAGTTATACCAAAGATGATAATAAAATGGTTGGCCATGACAGTGGAACCTCGCTTAACGAGTTTAATCCGCTAATTTTCGGATTTTTACTCGTATATGTTTATACAAGTTTTAAAAATTCACTTCTCTTCTCATCGTCACTCGTTATGCGAAACATCGCTCGTTAAGCGACTCATTTTTCTTACAATTCATTTTGCTCGTTAAGCGAAATTCCTCGTTATGCGAGTATTTATGAAGTAAGTGCTCTTCCTTGGACTCTCTCAAGTAATTCCAACATCTCAGTTCGACCCCTTAGATAAGACTTCCTCTCTATTCGGTCCCCTGACTAAGTCTAAATTATATAATACAAAAATGTGTTCATTTCAAAAAGGGGCTGTGTGGGAGGTAAGGGTTTGTCCTTCTGGAAAATACAACCGTTTCTTTATCTAAGTTTTATGATCCTGCCCAAATATTTAGGGGCTGCAGAAAGCAAGTGGACGTAATACGTAATACAATAGACGTAACTATACGATTTAATGTGTAACCGTCCTTCGGAATATTCGAAATAATCACGTACAAGTATCCGTTTGTATATTTGATGGATACCTTAAATGTGATTTGTAATAATTAAGAGGAAAGTGGTAGACCTAACAAATATACATATTAGTTATACCAAATATGGTAATAAAATGGTCGGCCACGATAGTAGAACCTCGTTTAACGAGTTTAATCCGCTAATTTCCGGATTTTTACTGGTATATGTGTATACAAGTTTTAAAAATGAAGAAGCAGTCGCGCAATCCGGGACTTCTCTTCTCACTCGTTATACGAAACGTCGCTCGTTAAGCGAGTCATTTTTCTTACAATTAATTTTGCTCGTTATGCGAGTATTTATGACGTAAGTGCTCTTCCTTGGACTCTCCCAAGTAATTCCAACTTCTCAGTACGACCACTTAGCCAAGACTTCCTCTCTATTCGGTCCCCTTGACTAATACTAAATTATATAATACAAAAATGTGTACATTTCAAAAAGGGGCTGTGTGGGAGGTAAGGGTTTGTCCTTCTGGAAAATACAACCGTTTCTTTATCTAATTTTTATGATCCTGCCCAAATGTTTAGGGGCTGCAGAAGGCAATTCGTGATACAATAGACGTAACTATACGATTTAATGTGTAATTGTCCTTCGCAATATTCCACAAGTTATTCTAAATAATCACGTACAAGTATCCGTTTGTATATTTGATGGATACGTTAAATATGATTTGTAATAATTAAGAGGAAAGTAGTAGACCTAACAAATATACATATTAGTTATACCAAATATGATAATAACATGGTCGGCCACGACAGTGGAACTTAGCTTAACGAGTTTAATCCGTTAATTTCCAATTCATTTTGCTCGTTAAGCGAAATGCCTCGTTCCACTGTACAGTTATTTTTGTATCCAAAATTTTTGGTTTATATATTTTAGAATTGTAGAAAAGTATAGAAACTTTGCAATTATAACTTTCAAAAATTATGGACTACCAAAACAAGTGAATAGTAACAATGAAATAGTTTTTAAATATGAATCAAATGAATTAAATCTTTTATTTTCCATTGTATACAAATTATTAAATATACATTAGTTATTGTTTGGTTCGCTAATTAACATCAATTATTCTAATGAATACGTGATTACAACCTTCATTGACATTTGTTTAATAAAATAACACATAGTTGCGGGAAATAATTTGCAATTTTCTTCTTCTTCTTCCTCGTGTCTCCACTCTCATCACTTGAATTTGTGCACTGCACAGTTTAATCAGTCTCCGCTTAAGTGCTCTTAGAAATAAGGACATACAGGTTACATATAACATAGGTAATTAGGTTTCAATTACAAATTGACTTTACAAGATCTAATATAAGCTAGTACAGTTGTATACACATGTCGGTCTTGCGTTGCCATTAATACTGCTGTAGATGTTGGGAATAGTACTTTCATTTCAGCTAATTTGTTTCAATCTCACCACACACACATCTCTATCCGAGTCGGACTGCAATTTTAATAAGAATTATTTTTAACATGTAACAAAAATTGTAGGCAATTCAATATACATTAGTTAATTATTTAAATAAATTAAATGATGGAATTAAAATTGTTTCTATTGTAGTATAGATAAATTCCAATTATAACATTTGTATGTTAATAAAGTTAATTAAAATTATGTAATGAATTGAACGCAATTAAAGTTTAAAATGCAATTAATTTGTATTTATTTACGTAATGATATTTTTGAAAATTGTATAGATAAATAATCTATACAATTTTCTGGAATTTATCTGTTTATAATCTAAACAGAGAACGTATTTACAATTCAATGAATATGATATTGAGTTAACGACACTGACTCATTAAATTATTACACTTCGTTACTAGAATTTATCTAACCACAGGATAGACCAGTGCGGATCAGATCTGTTCCAGCGCGTAATATGTAAGTATTGTTCACATATTGTATAATAAAAAACCTTTTAATGAGTAGAATTTAAATTGTTATGTAATTATGCATGTTTTTGTGTTCATAATTTAAAAATATTTTAATAATTGCATTGAATATTAAATTTTTTGATAATTTCAATTTAAATATAAACGAGATACAGAAAAGATATAAAAATATTCAATTGGATTTGGCAACATTCACAATGCATTGAAATACATCCATACCTACACTGTCTACACTTATATAATACCAACTTACAGATAAAATATGTAAGTTTTACTCTAAATTTATTTACGTGTATTTATTAGGCAAGAGTTTACAAAATCATCTACTAAGAACGAATTGCATAAGAACAATGGCTCAATATTATTCGTATTTTTCAGAGGATGTTTCGGTTGTTGAGGGGTGCTACAAGCAGGAGCTTGGCTCAGCAGGCCATCAGGAGTATTTCGCGTACATCCAGACTGAACTGCAAATATGAATCAAACTTGCACAAAGTGAACAATGTAGAGAAACGTTTCCTGGTTTGGACTGGGAAGTTCAAGAAGATCGAAGATGTTCCCACTTTTGTCCAGCAAGTGATTTAAAGGCTATATACATATTGGGTCCCCTTAATGGTGTTTAATTTGTAGAGGTGACATTGTGGAGAAAGCCAGGAACCGAATGCGTATCCGCATTGCAAACTGCATGATGGCTGTAACCATGATTGGATGCTTCCTGATGGCTCTCAGTGGTAAGAGAGCTCATGAGCGTGGAGAATCTGTGCAACAGCAAACCTTAGACAGACATCGCCTCTTGAAGGAGGAGTACCTAAAGGAAGCACAAGAGTTGAAAAACCAACAAGCCAAATGATATTGTTACGAGGAAGATACTGATGATGAGAGTTTATTGGATTTGGAGTCCTTCATTAGGAGCTTAGGCTTTTATTTTTTTTAATGTAATTTAAATTGCATACACTCAGATTAAAGAAAATAGGTTACATTTTATCGATTTATTTTTTATTTATAAAACAGTAGAACAAAGTTGTTTATCAAACAGTAGTTATCTTTATTTTAAAGATAAAAAAAAGAAATAATAATTGAAACTTATTACAAATAAATTATGATGATCTTAATATGAAATTATTTAATGAAAAATAATTATTGAGTGCCTGTGGACAGGAGGGCCAAGAGACCAGCTGTTGTGCTCACTGAGAGAACATAGTTCACAGTTGGGGTGAAGCTACGGAGCAAGTAGAAGCTGGCAAAGATGATGATGGCCACGAACAGGGCATTGTTGTAGAAGATGGAGAAAGTTGTTGCCTCGAAATCGGCGACTTCGTTCTTCTGCCACAAGATCCTCTCATCCTTTTCCTTCCTGCTCATCTTCTTGTCCTCAGCCAACTTCTTGGTCAGTTCCCTGGTGACGGCTTCCTCACGTTTGTTGGCGATCTTGTGCTTCAGGAGGAACTTGGTGTTGCGGTAGGCCATGGAGATCAGGTAGGTGGACAGAGCAGTCACAATGAGGAATGGGATCATGGATGAATACAGATCGATCATGTGTATTCTCCAGAAGAGCCATATGGGGATGGCAGAGACGATGAAAGCGTTACCGTAGAAAAGAGCGGAGGACTTGGTGGAGACGTTCCTGCTGAAATCCTGCAGGAGAAGCTCCTCTTCCTTGGTGAAACCTTGCTTATTCACTTTAGCAGGCATTTTTAGCTGGACTTTCTTTTATGTTGAACACGAACACTGTTTCTCCAACAAGAGACGAAACTTATTTGAGAAGCTTACTGTTTTTGTATCGAGATGCCAACTTGCTCCGTTGGCACGTTTCGTTGTAAAAACTTCAGCCAACGTGACGTTTTCTAATTGTTATTCAGTCGATAGAGGGCGTCTCAAAGAACTTTTAACTCTTAAATTCAGACAAATATACTTATTATTTATAGTTTAGACTTAAATATGAGACATATAAATTAAACATATATTTAAAATTATTTCTAAATAAGTGGAGATTCATAAGTTACACATAAAACATAACATAAATGTTAAATACATTTTTATAAGCAGTTTACAAAAATTTTGTTTTATGAAAGTGTTTGAATTACTAAATAGTATTAATAGTTATATCTACATTCAAATAAAATTAATAAATTATTTTTAGAAATTTTCAGAACAAGAATACTTTCTGCATGTAAAAATGGTTATCTATAACATCTATTAAACAATTACTGCAAATAGAGTTGCATAGTTGTTCTTCTCTTTAACCCTCCAAAATTAACTTAGCTTTCTTGCAATTTGCACAATTTCGAATAGTTGTTAGCATAGATCATCCATGAAATATTATTAATAAACAAGTATAAATTTAAATTTTGTTTTATTTATTTATATATATTTTTATATACAGTGGATCCTTAACAAGCATTTCGCTTAACGAGCATTATCGTATATTACATTAGTTTATATGGGGAAAATTGTTTCAATATACGAGTAAAAATCCGGAAATTTTGGAAAGGGCAAAAATGAAATCAGTTGGTAACAGTGTTGTTTGATGTGTGGAGAGAAGAAGATTTTCATCCGAAATCGGTTGAGTTCGGAACTGTTCGGAAAGGTTTATTACATGGCCATATACATTTTTCTGGAGATTCAAATCTTCAGTATAGTTCTTCAGTTTGTATTTCGCAGTTTTGAAGAGCAGAGGCAACCAAGTGCAAGTAAGTAACAAGTTTACAATTTTTCTTCATATATATTTGTCTAAGTACAATTGAATTAACTGAAAAACATCGCTAGAAAGACAAGCAGAAATTACGTGCACAAATAAATGAACAATAATAACGTGAGATGGGTGGTAAACAAAGACAATTTCAACACAGGAAAAACAACGTAAGTACAAATTTATCAATTTTGAGAAACATATTTTGAATTTATCCACCAATATGTTTCTAGTCTTTTAATTTTGAGAGAAGCGCAGAACTGCAAGCTTCTACCATACCCACGTTTGGAACGTTTCCTGGCTTGAAAAGAACATGCTTTGTGAATGCTGGATGTTCATTGGTACCAATTGATGATATTGATTCAATTGTTGATCACAACTTTCAATTAGTCCTGAAGAAAATGACAAAAAAACACGCCACTACAAAGTTAAAAGCTTTACAGGAATTTTCAGAGCTTATAAAGGATACAGACATTGAGACTATCAAAGCTGTATTACCATATTGGCCCAAGCTGTACAATAATTTATCAATAGATGCTGAGTGTAGGGTCCGTGAAGGAGCTCAATTAGCACACCATCAGGTTGTGTTAAAGGCCAAACGTAATATTGCTCCTTATCTTAAGCAGTTAGCTGGATCATGGTTTACTTCTCAGAATGATACTTATCTACCTGCAGCTAGTGCTGCTGCCCAGTCATTCAATGTAAGTTTGTACATACTTATCTTAATATCAATTATTTATTTGTATATAATTTTAGGATGCGTTTCCAGCCAATAAGTTACAAGATGCAATTATATTTTGCCAGAAAGAGATACTTAATTACATTTGCGACAATTTAATAATACACACTGCGCTGACTCTAAACAATCCGAAAACGTATTCTAAAGCGCGTTACGAAAGAGTCATCATTTCTAGTTTGCAGGGATACGCGCTCTATTTGAGCAAGGTTCCTAAAGAATCAATTTGGTCTAATATGAAGTTACACCAAAAGATTATTATGAGCGTGAAGTTCTGGAACTTTGGTCGCAACGACGTTTCGTCAATAAGGACATCTTGGTATATAGTATTAATAGCGATGTTGCAAAGGGCTCCGTTTTTATTGGAGAATAAAGCAGCTCAAGTTACGAAAGCAGTTTTCAGTAATTTCGATGAGAGCAATCCTCAAGTCCTTCCAAATGTCTGGGAAGCTGCTTTCTTGACAATAACAACTTTTAAGGTAATATATCAACTGAGAAACTTGTTATTAACCAAATTTAATCTATGATTATTTCAGAAATGGTTTAAATATATAAACGTAGATGAACTGTTTCTACCGAAGCTGTGGAAGGTCTTGCGACAAGGGGGGCAAGGCAATGGCACCGTTAATTATCCAAATCTTAGACCACTTCTATCTCACCTGCCTCCAAACCATGACATTGAAAATTTCTGTATTAATTACATGAATAATATGCGGATTGGGTAAATAATATGCGATTAGTAAAAGTCAGTGTAATTTAAGTGTTTTTGCAGTATTCAACAGAAAAAGATCAGATCGAGCCAATCGGAATCTCGCGCTTTGTATGTAGCGTTAATCGAATGCCTGCAATACATAATTCTTAAAAATGAATCTAACCTGGCGTTGTGTGAGACACTCATCGATGAACAACTTATTGTATTAATGGAATGGTCCTTGGAAAACGGCCCTGCCGCATACAAGACGCTCTTTAAACAAATTGCAGCCCTCATACAGTATTGGCATCGGAACATAGAGCTCTATCCAAACTACAAGACGATGTGCGACCATGTGTGGATTAAATTAAAGACTCTCTTTGAAAACAAAATCGGTATGAACGAGGATTACATGGCTAGGCAGATCGAGTTCTTCTTATGCTTGAAGAGTACCACGAAGCCTAAGAAGCAGCTCAAGGTAAAATTCGATGGAAAAGATTGCAAGTCCGGAGATGATGGTCAGAGCCACGGAGAAACCTCAACAGTTTCCGAAGAGTATTTTAACTGCCTCAACTACTTGATATGTAGTAGCTGCATTTGTTGCGTGAATACTATCAGAAGAAACCCTCAACCTAGCATCGTGGATCATTTGCTCTATATGGTCCAGGAATTCGAGAACGAGACTCTTCTAAAACACCTTAACTCCAAGGTGAATTCTAGTGAGAATATGATCGATGTGTGCACTAAGATAATTTTACCATGGATTGACGACGATTCGATTCGCTCTCGTGGCGTCATCGATCTGCTTTTTATCATTTTTAAGTATTTGAAATATGAAGAAAAAGCTTTAGTCTTGAAAACTTTAGATAAGGTAAATTACTGCTCTCGGATGTAGTTTTTGAAAAATTATTAATTTAAATTGTTCAGGTTCCATATGAAGACTGTTTTGGTTGGTGCGTTGCGAAGTGCCTGTCGCATCCTTTCAACATGGATCTCGAGGTGCAAAATTGGTTGGGCAGTAAACGAGTCGGAGATTTTTTAGTTAGACTTATGGAGTACGAAATAGCTGATAAAAGTTCTCCTGAATTTAGTTTTCTATTGAAACAGACATTAACCCAGACTTCTAATGGAGGTAATTTTCATATATTTAATTTAATTCACAAATCATTTACTTAATTTTGTTTACAGATTTGCTTATTAGAAAGAATTCAGTGATCGAAATTATAGAGTCGTTGAGCGCTTGCTTGATGTCTCCTCACAACCACCCAAAGACAATCAATACTTGTGCCAGATTAGGAGCTTATTTAGCTGCGTTCCTCTATACTGAATCGTTAAAAGATGCATACTCAGACAAGCTCCTCATAGGTTTGTTTACCCTGTCCTGCAAGAACGTGTATCCTGAAGCTCTGACCAAGGACACCATTTGGGAAGTGAACACCGCCTGGCAAGATGTTATTACTTTGATAACCGGAGAAATCCAAAAAAATGAACTGAAAATCTTGGCGGAAACGTTCGCGAAAATCGTCGAGAAGAAACTGTTCAATGCGATCGAAACAATCAACTCCGATAAGTTGGTCGAAAAGATCGTGAGTTTTCTGAACTCTGTCGCTAAATGTAAGCCGCTCTACGTCGGAGAGTTGATCAGTTTATTTATTAAGAGGACTATTATTCTGCAGCAAGCGAAGATTTTGAAGCATCAGATTCAATTGATAGAATACCTGAAAGGGAATCTGTCTGATCCATATGCGTATTCTATGGTCGATCGCGATCAGTTAGAATTAATCGATGAGGTGGAAATATCCAAATATTTCACTTGGAAAGAGATCATGCTTTCGGTTATTACCTCCCCTATTGATGAAGACAACGATTGCCAGAGCGATAATGGAAGCACAGGCAACATATTGCTTAAATTGGCACAGTACACGGAGAGTATAATCTGTGAATTGCTTCACGATATCGTTTTATTAGAGTCCGTGAATCAAAATTTCAAGTCTGTGCGCAATTACGTCAAGCTCGGTGATCAATTGGTGAACCTCAAAGATAAACTCTTTAATATCCTCGACCATACCGATTCAGACACGCAGCTTAAAGTTTGCGCTATATTGGTTGATAAGGCCGGAAAAGAAGGTTGGTTGTGGACGAATACTGTTCACTTATGGTTCGTGGAGATGTCCAATTATTCAGCCATCAAAGTTTATGACAATCTATTACCTAGTATGAATACAAAATTGGCTAAATTGCACTTGACTCAAATATTGGGAAGTAATTTGAGTTACGACAACATTCATTGTAAGGTGGGCCCCGTTGGAGACGTAGTTATTCTTAGGAGCTTACTGCATTGCGATGAAATTGACGTGCAAATCGCTGAAGTATTCAAAAAAATCGAGATATTGGAATACTTTTTTAACGTCTATACCATGTAAGTTACTAGCGAAATGTATGATATTTTTATTTTATATTTGTATTTGTAGAGACTTCATGAACTGGATCCAAGTCCAAGTCCCCATTGAAATCATGAGAATGTTTACCGTTTTAGTGAATACTAGAACTAATCAATTGAATAGCCGACAATGGCAATTGATTTTAGTATTTCTTTCTACTTGGTCTAGAAAAATCAGCGTCATTAAATCTATATGTGATAATATTCAGGTAATTTCGATTCAATAATTCTTACTTCAAAAATCTTATCCGATACATTTCAGATTTCCGCATTTATTCTATCTATTGTCAAATTATTCGCTGCGATTACTGTATATATTGAAGAACTTGCCGAAGAACAACCAGCTAACAGCTTAATTGATGAGTGGAAGCTTGTGTTCGACATTCCTATCTCTAGCGATATAATGAGTATTTGGCTGTACCTATCGGAGAAGTACGAGTGCAAAGTGAACAAGATGAGCATCACCGATATGGTCTATTTGCACGAGCTGGGCAACGTTATTGGACACGTTAATGGCAATTATATCTTCCTAACGGACATTGCTGGAATGCCGGAATGGAGCAAAGTGTTTGACCAGTGTTGCACATTACTGATCAACTCGGAGCATTCCCTCCAACTCTGGGGATATAACATGCTTACTTCTCTATCATCCGGCTTGATCGAGATATCAGTCGATACCAATACTTCGCACGAGAAGGACATGATCTTCGAGCAGTTAAAGGATTTACTCGACGGAACGCATAATATGGTCAACAATATGTTACTCGACTTCAAGTGAGTTTTATAATCATTGGCTAAAAAACAGTGTTTAACATATAACGATTTTAGATTGAGTGAAGACAACTACAGAGTTGAACCATATACGGACTCATACACATATACCTTTGGATATTTTCTTATTTGGGACGTTCTGTTGAACTTGTTCGAGAAATCTTCAAGCGAATTGAGATTCCAGTACGATGATTGGTTAAGGTTTGTGCATTGTATTCAATAATGTAAACTGATTGTAATTGAATTGTGTATGTTTTTACAGAAAGGAAGAATTGCTTAACAGTTTGTTGAGCAGCATATTTAAATTGATGCCTACAGATGTCCTCAGATACACTGAGGGAAAAACGCAACCGGTCTTTGAATGTTTTTTCGAAAAGCCCAAACTACTTCTTGGAGGTAAGTTCATTTTTCAAAATAATAATTGAATTATCTATAATTGTATGGAGTTTGCAGAAGAAATAAACAGCGAAAAATTGGAGCGATTCGTTTGTTGGATTTACGCTTCAACATTGGCGCAGCTTCCGACTTCAGTTCAGCAATGGTGGACGTGCGCTGAAGATAGGATATCTGAGATAGTTGAAAGAGTAACGACCGCCTACGTCTCACCAGCTCTGTGCTATAAAAAATTAACTGAAGTTTCTAAGCACGAAAGTAGTTTCAAAAATATGGAGGTATGTAGATTTGATATTTAATTATATGGTACAAGACTAATTATTTTCATGTTTTGCAAAAAAAAAAAAAGGTTGAGATATTTGGTTCTATCCGGGCGGTGACTGGTATGTATACGATAGACGAATCCAAGATGGAATTGGTGATTGGCCTTCCACCAAACTATCCATTGCGCGGACCACGGATTATATTTAACGGACAGATCAAAGAAACTTCCCTCAAACCATGGTTGATACAGCTGCAGATGCGCGTCTTGCTCCAGGTAATAACTCGTAAACAAACAATGGTTTAGTTTGAAATAACTTATGATATATGAATTTAAGAATGAAAGAATCTGGGAGGCTCTCTCGCTGTGGAACAACAACTTGGACAAGAAGTTCAATCAAGTTGAGGAATGTACCATTTGCTTCGGTGTTTTTCGTTCACAGGCGTACCAATTACCCGATTTTCCTTGCAAGACTTGCAGAAAGAAGTTCCATCCTGCTTGTCTCGTAAGTATTTTTTTTTTAAATTTATATTTAAAACAACAATAAAATAATTTTTCTTTTTTTTTAGCATGATTGGTTTAGTAGCAGCAATAGGAGTTCATGCCCCATGTGCAGAAACCAATTTCCACTTAAAGATGTTTTACAATTACTAAAAATGTTTGATAGGTTTTACAACTTACCTATTAAATACGAGAAAGCAGCGTATCGATTCATTATTGATGCGCTATCGCGTATTCTTTTAACTAGACAGAATTCAGATCTATTCACATTAGAGAACGCCGATTTGCTTAATAATTTGAGTGATCCAGTACTGAGACGCAGGCCATCTTTTATAACCGAGAGATTGCGCAAGCGTGTGCACGCCAAATCCGCCAAATTTTTTAAGTTTTGGTCATGGGTTCAGTTTTGGAGATCAATTTTGGAAGAGGCCATCCAAACGGATCTACCTGATCTGAATTTAGCGGAATTATTACAACGATATTAAATGAATTGCAGTTTCTTCAATACCTGGATTTTATAGTATTTGTAATCTATCATCTTGCGTTATCACAGTTTGAAACACTATATTAGGGGCAGGGATACCAAAGCCGCTTATTTTTTTTCAAATCCCTGCTCAAGAAAAGGTAGTGCCAACTGTAAAAATATTACTCACATGCCCATAGACACATACTGTAACACACATATACACATATATATATATTTATATATAGATACAAAAGATATATATTTAACAATAAATTTTATTATACAACAAGATAGGTTATTTTTTTTTCTGTTCATGGTCCTCTGCTACTTAGCATTACTATCGACGAAAAAAACATTTTCGAATCGGATTCTCCTAATACTAATTTTATGTTAACGCAAATAGTTCAATTAATATTACTTTTAATACAAGGTACACCAGACAGCATTTTTATTTTAGCCATGATGTACACGGCAAAATTGTAATCTTTTTTTTACGATAAATCAGTTGGTATGGGACGTTTACAATGCCTGAGAGAGAAGAAGATTTTTCGTACGAAATCGGTTGTATTCGGAACAATCGTAACCGTTTCAAATGTTTACTTTGCGTTAATAAAACTTTCAAAACTTTTCTATTGTCACATTTCGAGTATTTCTATTTCTCCTTTGTGGAGAAAACCAGTAAACACAAGCAAGTAAGTAACATTTCCACATATATTCTTTATATACGCGTGTGTCTAAGTACAATTCAATTAATGTATGTTGTATATTAGGATGGTTTTTTATTGTTGCGTCCAAGGATGTGATATTAAAAGCGGCGATGGTATTCCAATGAGAACATTTCCTCCGGTTGATTCTCCATTGTTCGAACAATGGAAAATTGCTACGAGGAATGATTCATTGAAAAATATAGATAATCATGTTATAAGGAAAACAAGGATGATTTGCAATCTTCATTTCACTGAAAAGTACAGAAGAAAACCTTATTTTTATCAGTACGATTTACCGATGTTGACGGAAAATATTTTGGATCATAAAGTCCGACAACCCAAAGACAATTGAAATCCCAACTATGTATGATTTCGATACAGTCGGGATTTCGGTTGTCGGGCTTGCGATTTCCACCGCTTGTATATATGTAAATGTATATTGCTACTGTTCGTCTGTAATCTTTTCAATGTCGAGAATTGGTGTAAATATTTAACTTCATATGTTGAAATTGGTCGAAATCTTTAATTTCGCAAATCAAAGTTTTTTTTCAATTGTCAATAACAAATTTAAAAAAAAACACTACCATCAAATTTTGTTTCTCGCAAAATAAAAATTTAAAGGGTTCCCATTGATTTCGACTTTTCCGAAATATCTTCTTCTCTCCTAGCGTTGTAAATGGATCGTACCAACTGTCCTCGAAAAACCATATTCGCAAGTAACTGTGGTACCTCTGAGATTAATTACCATAAACTTCTTTCTTATTAATATTGTTGATAATAATATCAGCACAAATGTTTAGTAATAGATTTATTATTTATTTTGTTGTAACTTATCTTCTTTATCAATAATTTCTGTATCATGACCTAAAATTTCATTTAGAATTCGTAAATACATTACTTAATTTGTACATACATTACTTGCGGGGGAATCGAATCAACGTCCTTTTGTATAAGATTTTCGTGATATAGGCGACCAAGATGTTTACCTATTTGCTTATCAAAGTGTATGTTTGGTTGCCTGCACTTTAGGCGCAAAATAAAGATTCCATTTTTGTCACAGCTAGCGTCATCTGTTCAATATTTCAAAGGTTGTAGTTCAGGCATTTTGGGGCTGCACAAAATCCACTTCCTTCAAAACGTTCTAATATAAATAAACAAACATGTCAAAATAGTGCTTAAACAAATGTAATGTTATTACTTTAGTCTAATAATTAAAATACTAATTTAGATTTTAATTACGCAGCGACATCTGTCAGTACATCAAAGGATATGTTAAGTTTGTTCTGAGACATTTGTCTCTAAATACATAATCCATTTACAAGAAATTTTTTTTTTTTTTTTTTTTTTTCTTCAATGTGGCTAGGTGGGGAATTTATCCCGTTGCCTTTTATCTTTAGGAATGCATGACTGTGAATTAGTGAATGAGTAAAAACTCCGCCTTTCGGCTCTATTTACAAGAAATAAATTCTTATTATTGTGAGATGTGATTGGGAGTAGAGCTTATGTATATTGATGATTAAGCGTTATTATGTATTTGTTTATTTGAAAAATGAATTTGGAGTATTCAAAGAAACTTCGTGGATGTCCCTTATACAATTTTTGTTTATATACTCCATTAACAATAGACTGACCAATTATATTTTTCGAATGTATATATAAATAAACGAAAACACTAGCATCGACTTGTATCACGTTCTGTTTTAACCTGTTCTGATATGTCACGTTCTGTTCTGGTGAGTTCTTTTTGGTCCGGGTCACCAAATGCGCGTGCCCTGGTTGTCAGCAGTTGTCAGTTTAAGAATAAAAAAATACATCGCTAGAAAGACAAGCAGAAATTATCTGCATAACTAAATGAACATTTATATTGGCTTTGAGACGGATATATAAATAATAACGTGTGATGGGTGGTAAACAGAAGCAAGCTCAACGCACGAAAAACAATGCCAGGGTAAGAACAGAAATTTTGAGAAACAGATTTTGCGACTGACCACCAATATGTTTCTAGCCTTCAAATTCTGGGAGAAGCGCAGAGCTGCTGGCTTCTACCATACCCCCGTTTGGAACGTTTTCTGGCTTGAAGGAAACATGCTTTGCAAATGCTGGATTTTCATTGGTGCCCATCGATGATATTGATTCATCTGTTGATAGCAACTTTCAATTAGTCCTGAAGAAGATGAGCAAAAAGGATGGCACAACAAAGTTGAAAGCTTTACAGGAATTCACAGAGCTTATAAAGAATACAGATGCTGAGACTATCAAAGCTGTATTACCATTTTGGCCTAGGCTGTATAATAATTTATCAACAGATGCTGAACATAGGGTCCGTGAAGCAGCTCAATTAGCACAACATCAGGTTGTGTTAAAGGCCAAACGTAATATTGCTCCTTATCTTAAGCAGTTAGCTGGACCATGGTTTACCTCTCAGTATGATACTTATCCACCTGCAGCTAGTGCTGCTACACAATCATTTAGTGTAACTTTGTACATACTTATCTTAATATCAATTATTTATTTGTATATAATTTTAGGATGCCTTTCCAGCCAATAAGTTGCAAGAAGCAATTATATTCTGCCAAGAGGAGATACTTAATTACATTTGCGACAATTTGATTATACACACTGCGCAGACTCTAAGCAATCCGAAAACGAATTCGCTGGAGGATTCTAAAGCGCGTTACGAAAGAGTCATCATTTCTAGTTTGCAGGGATACGCACTCTATTTGAGCAAGGTTCCCAAAAAATCCATTGAGACTGTTATGGAGTTACACCAGAAGATCATCATGAGCGCGAAGTTCTGGAAGTTTGGTCGCAACGACGTTTCGTCTATAAGAGCGTCTTGGTATATGGTGTTAACAGCGATGTTCCAAATGGCTCCGTTTTTATTGGAGAATAAAGCAGCTCAAGTTACGAAAGCGGTTTTCAGTAATATGGATGAGAGCGATCCGGCAGTCCTTCCGAATGTTTGGGAAGCTGCTCTATTGACTATAACAACTATTGAGGTAATGGATCAACTGAGAAACTTGTTATTAACCAAATTTAATCTATGATTATTTCAGAATTGGTGGAAATATATCAACGTAGATGAACTGTTTCTACCGAAGCTCTGGAAAGTCCTGAGACAAGGGGGACAAGGCAACGCCACCGTTATTTATCCAAATCTTCTTCCGCTTCTATCTCACCTGCCTCCAAACCTAGACATTGAAAGTTTCTATAACAATTATTTTAATAATATGCGCATTGGGTAAATAATATGCGATTAGTAAAAGTCAGTGTAATTCAAGTGTTTTTGTAGTATTCAACAGAAAACGATCAGATCGAGCCAATCGGAATCTCGCGCTTTGTGTGTAGCGTTAATCGAATGCCTGCAATACACAATTCTTAAAAATCAATCTAACCTGGCGTTGTGTGAGACACTCATCGATGAACAACTCCTGGTAGCAGTGGAATGGTCCTTGGAAAACGGCCAGGCTGCATACAAGACGCTCTTCAATCAAATTTCATCCCTCATACAGTATTGGCATCGGAACGTAGAGCCCTATCCAAATTACAAAACGATGTGCGACCGCGTGTGGATTAAATTAAAGACTCTCTTTGAAAACAAAATCGGTTTGAACGAGGATTACATGGCTAGGCAGATCGAATTCTTCTTATGCTTGAAGAGTACCACGAAGCCTAAGAAGCAGCTCAAGGTAAAATTCGATGGAAACGATAGCAAGTCCGGAGATGATGGTCAGAGCCAAGGAGAAACCTCAACAGTTTCCGATGAGTATTTGAACTGCCTCAACTACTTGATATGTAGTACCTGCATTTGTTGCGTGAATACTATCAGAAGAAACGCTCAACCTAGCATCGTGGATCATTTGCTCTATATGGTCCAGGAATTCGAGAACGAGACTCTTCTAAAATACCTTAACTCCAAGGTGAATTCTAGTGAGAATATGATCGAAGTTTGCACTAAGATAATTTTACCATGGATTGACGACGATTCGATTCGCTCTCGTGGCGTCATCGATCTGCTTTTTATCATTTTTAAGTATTTGAAATATGAAGAAAAAGCTTTAGTCTTGAAAACTTTAGATAAGGTAAATTACTGTTCTCGAATGTAGTTTATGAAGAATTATTAATTGAAATTGTTCAGGTTCCATATGAAGACTGCTTTGGTTGGTGCGTTGCCAAGTGCTTGTCGCATCCTTTCAACATGGATCTTGAGGTGCAAAATTGGTTGGGCAGTAAACGAGTTGGAGACTTTTTAGTTAGAATTATGCAGTACGAAATAGCTGATGAAAGTTCACCTGAATTTAGTTTACTATTGAAACAGGCATTAACAGAGACTTTTAATGGAGGTAATTTTCATATATTTACTTTAATTCACGAATCATTTACTTAATTTTGTTTACAGATTTGCTTATTAGGAAGAAATCAGTGTTCGAAATTATAGAGTCTTTGAGCGCTTGCTTGATGTCTCCTCACAACCACCCAATGACAATCGATACTTGTGCCAGTTTAGGAGCCTATTTAGCTGCGATCGTCTATACTGAATCGTTAAAACTAGCATACTCAGATAAGCTCCTCATAGCTTTGTTCACTCTGTCCTGCTGCAGCGACGTGGATCCTGAAACCCTTTCCAAGGACACCATTTGGGAAGTGAACACCGCCTGGCAAGATATTATTACTTTGATAACCGGAGAAATTCAACAAAATGAACTGAAAATCTTGGCGGAAACGTTCGCGAAAATCGTCGAGAAGAAACTGTTCAATGCGATCGAAACAATCAACTCCGATGAGGTGGTCGAAAAGATCGTGAGTTTTCTGAACTCCGTCGCTAAATGTAAGCCGCTCTACGTCGGAGAGTTGATCAGTTTATTTATGGAGAGGACTTTTATTCCGCTGCAAGCGAAGATTTTGAAGCTTCAGATTCAATTGATAGAATACCTGAAAGGGAATCTGTCCGATCCATATGAGCCGACCAATTCTAAGGTCGATCGCGATCAGTTCGAATTGATCGATGAGGAGAAAATAGCCAAATATTTTACATGGAAACAGATCATGCTTTCGGTTATTTCCTCCCCAATCGATGAAGACGACTATTGCGAGAGCGATGATGGAAACACAGGCAACATCCTGCTTAAATTGGCTGAGAACACCGAGAATATGATCTCTGGTTTGCTTTACGATATCGCTTTATTAGAGTCGGTGAATCAAAATTTGAAGTCGGTGCGACATTACGACAAGCTCGATGGTCAATTGGCGAATATCAAAGATAAACTCGTTAATATCCTCGACCATATCGATTCAGTCACGAAGGATAAAATTGGCGGTATACTGGTTCATAAGGCCGGAGAAGAAGGTTGGTTGTGGGCGAATACTGTTCAGTTATGGTTCGTGGAGTTGTCCAAAGTACCAGCCACCAAAGTTTATGACAAGTTATTACCTAGTATGAATACAAAATTGGGTAAATTGCACTTGACTCAAATATTGGGAAGTAATTTGAGTTACGACAACGTTCATTGTAAGGTGGGCCCCGTTGGCAGCGTAGTTATTCTTAGAAGCTTACTGCATTGCGATGAAATCGACGTGCAAATCGCTGAAGTATTCAATAAAATCCAGAAACTGAGAGACGAAGATATGGGTCGTTACTTCTATAACATGTAAGTTGCTAGTGAAATGTATGATATTTTTATTTTATATTTGTGTTTGTAGAAACTTCACGAACTGGTCCCAAGTGCAAACGGCCATTGAAATCATGAGAATGTTTACCGTTTTAGTGGATACAAGAAATAATAAACAATTGAATAGCAGGCAGTGGGATTTTATCTTAGTGTCTCTTGCTAATTGGTCGGGAAAACTCAACGAGATTAAATCTACCTGTGATAATATTCAGGTAATTTTGATTCAACAATTCTTACTTCAAGAATCTTATCCGATGCATTTCAGATTGCCGCATTCATTCTATCTATTGTCAAATTATTCGCTACGATTACTCAATATATTGAAGAACTTGCGAAAGAACAACCAGCTAACAGCTTAGTTGATGAGTGGAAGAATGTGTTCGTCATTCCTATCACTACCGATATAATGAAGATTTGGCTGTACCTATCGGAGAAGTACGAGTGCAAAGTCAACAAGATCAGCATCACCGATCTGGTCTTTTTGCACGAGCTGGGCAACGTTATTGGACACGTGAATGCTAATCATATCTTCCAAACGCACATTGCTGGAATGCCGAAATGGAGCAAAGTGCTCAAACAGTGTTGCACATTGCTAATCAATTCGGAGCATTCCCTTCAACTCTGGGGATACAACATGCTCATTACTCTATCATCCGGTTTGATCGAAGTGGATTCTAAATCAGTCGATACCAATACTCCGCACGAGAAGGGCATGATCTTCGAGCAGTTCAAGGATTTACTCGTCAGAACGCATAATATCGTCAGCATTATGTTACACGACTTCAAGTGAGTTTTATAATCATTGGCTAAAAAAACAGTGTATAACATATAACCATTTTAGATTGGGTGAAGACAGCTGCAGAGTTGAACCATATACGGACTCGTACACATATACCTTTGGATATTTACTTATTTGGGACGTACTGTTGAACTTGTGCGAGAAATCTTCAAGGGAATTGAGATTCCAGTACGCTGATTGGTTAAGGTTTGTGCATTATATTCCATAATGTAAACTGATGGTAATTGAATTGTGTATGTTATTACAGAAAGGAAGAATTGCTTAACAGTTTGTTGAGCAGCATATTTAAATTGATGCCTACAGATGTCCTCAGATACACTGAGGGAAAAACGAAACCGTTCTTTGAATGTTTTGTCGAAAAGCCCAAACTGCTTCTTGGAGGTAAGCTCATTTTTCAAAATAATAATTGAATTATCTATAATTGTATGGATTTTGCAGAAGAAATAAACAGCGATAAATTGGAGCGATTCGTTTGTTGGATTTACGCTTCAACATTGGCGCAGCTTCCAGCTTCAGTTCGGCAATGGTGGACCAACGCGGAAGCTAGGACATCTCAGATAGTTGAAAGAGTTACTACAGCCTATGTTTCACCATCTCTGTGCTCTCAAGAATTAACTGATGTTTCTGAGCATGAAACTACTTTCAAAAACATGGTCGTACGTAGATTTGATGTTTAATTATATGGTACAAGACTAATTATTTTCATGTTTTGCAAAAGGTTAAGGTACATCCTTATGCTCGGGAGGTGATTGCTGTGTATACGGTAGACGATTCCCAGATGGAATTGGTGATGGCTCTTCCAACAAACTATCCATTGTGCGGACCAGACGTTCAATGTAACCGGCAGATTGGAGGAATTTCCCATAAACCATGGCTGATGCAGCTGAAGATGTGCGTGTTGCATCAGGTAATAACTCATAAACCAATAATGGTTAAGTTAGATATAACTTAATATATGAATTTAAGAATGGAAGAATCTGGGACGCTCTCTCGCTGTGGAACAACAACTTGGACAAAAAGTTCGATGGAGTTGAGGAATGTTACATTTGCTTCGCTGTTTTGCATCCAGGGACGTACCAATTACCCAAATTGTCGTGCAAGACTTGCAGAAAGAAGTTCCATGCTGCTTGCTTGGTAAGTATTTTTATTTATATTTAAAACAACGATAAAATGATGTTTCTTTTTTTTAGTACAAATGGTTCAGTACCAGCAATAAGAGTACATGCCCCATATGCAGAAACCTGTTTTAAATTGGCTAGCTTTAAACGAACAAAACTATAAGATATTTTAAGCATACGGAAAATACTTTTAAATCGTACCAAAAAAAAAATGATATATATTATGTATGTATTGATGGTTGTAGAAACCATACTCGAGGGAAAACCTCAATTGTTAATTTTTAATATTTTTTGATTGAATGAAAAAAAAATCTATCTTTGAACTGTGTATACCAGTCACATTGACTTTAGTTTGAACCTTGTATAAACTTTAGGAACCTATTTTATGAATGTATTTTATCAGAATGTTGCACGAATCGTGTAGTAATTTGATATTTTTAAGAATGTGTTGAATTCAAATATATATGATTAGCGACATCTTTCGATGGTTTTTTAGAATGATCCTATTGATTGCATAACCTTTTTATGAGCTATCTTCATTGCGGTAAGGTCGTTCATGTGGTTGTCAACTTGATTTACTTAATATTATGGAATTTGTAATCAATTCTGTGGCCAGGAATTTGTTGAAATTTAATTCTCGGTGTTTAATCAGAAGGAATATAATGACGACTCCGTCGAGGTGCGAGAAAGCTATGGAAGAGCTTTCCGGTAATCCTTACTTTGAGAAATATGCCCAAAAGATTGCATCTCTCCAGAAGACTTCCCCAGAGGAATTCTTGTCAAGGGTTGAGGACCACAAGACCAGGAAGGAGTTTAAGCCAGAGCCTGTGAAAGAAAGGTGATGATGAGATCAATCAAATTGCTTCATTACTAACTTTGCGTTGATGATTAGGCAATTCACTAGTCTGCTGGAACCCAAGAAAGCTGTAGATTTAAAGGATGGAGCACAGGATGAATCATTGGATAAAATCATGAAGTTGGACTTGATCAAGGACAAGGACGTGGATGAGATCAAGGAGATTTGGTTGAAATATCATGTACAGAAGGAGACTATAGCTGCTGTCATCAGAAGCAGTGACTATGACAAGATCTTGGAGCAAGCTTTGAAGACACCCTTATTCCTGTTCCCACTGCCCAGGAGTCAAGGCTATGAATTCATAATGTGCCAATTCCAAAATAACAGCATCCATTTCACTCCATTGATTTGCTACCAGGTAGAGTAGTCAAATAAAATCAATCAAAATCTTTTTTAAATTTCAATTTTTAGGTGCACAAAGAAAACGCACCAGAATGCTTGACAATCAAAAACTACACAGAGTTCAAAGATTCCAAAGGCATTGTCCTCATGAGGGGAGAGTATGATAAGAACACAATTGACGCCAAGGAGGCGCAATGTTTGGCAAACCAAGTGCAACTGTACTACAACCAGAATGATGAGGCTAAGGTGAAACTTATGGAGCTGTTCAACAACAAGCCAGACGAATTCAAACACATGGATCTGATCAAGCAGATCGAATCATTGTCTCTTTAAAATAAATGAAACAAAATCGTTGTTTTTTTGTATATAATTAAAAAATAAATAAAAATAAATAGTATGGGTATAAATTAGGCGGGTGTTGGAGTTGAGGTCTCCTCTGATTCATTCATTTCGCCGACGAAGATCTTGCAGCAACGTCCAGACGTGCGCAAGACGATACACATTCCAATGATGACAAAACCAAATGCTAGAGAATTACAGATAATTGAAAACACAAGAAATTTGCAAATTATTTAAATGTACCTAAGACTGTAGGAATGGTGACTGTGTAGAAGTATGTAGAACTGGTGAAGGAAGTTCTGTATTGTGGCTGATAAACCGTCTTCGACTTAGTTTTGGGAATTGGTGTGCGGGTTTCCTCCTCATCCCTATCTTCTATTTTAGCCTCTTCAGTGTTTTCCTCGTCTTTGGCCCTCCGACGACGCACTAAATTTATCAAAGGATCCAACCACACGTTGGAAGATCCGAAACTGCTCCCCCCGACAGGATTAGCGGTGGTACGTTTTTCGGTACCACCGCTAATGAATAAAAAATAATGCCGTTTCTTTTGCTTCTGTACATCCAACTCAGTGGACACGTTGTCAACCTTCCCGGTGCTCATGGGAATCGTCTTCTCGGTGGCGTTCTGCGCTCTACGCGTGGTACAAGCCGGGCAAAAGCCGAACTCATCGTGAGAGCATTTCATCGCCTCCGGTTCGAACCTCTCCTCCGACGGTTGTTGCGCGAAGTCGCGCATCACGTTCGAAAGGAAGAACTGTATCATCCTCTGGAAAGGATTCAGAACACCCTCCGTTTGATTGTAAATCCTAGTGTTTGTCATGAATGTGACGACCATCCTAGGTTTTTGAAGCGCCGTTCCGTTCTCAGTCGAATTCCCAACATCCCCGGCGCTTATCGCTTAAAAGCGTAATCTTAATTAGATTTTCTATTTAGGTCTACAACCAACACATTCTTACCAAAAAGCAGCGCCAAGGCGAGAAGAGTTAAGCGTCTCATTGCGAGAACGCGGATATCATGTCGCAATAAAATCGCTTCTTGTCAATATCGATAATAAATAAATAAAAACGCTCGCACGGCCAGCTTAATTACAATTTTCAATTAAGATTATTTTAATCGAAAATGATTCTGCTTTGCAGACGCGCGAGTTTATAGGAAAGCATATATAATCTGACCGATGAACGGTACCCATCTCAGTGGGATCGCAAGCTTCAGACAGTAAACATGTCCATGAAAACGGAGAAGATTGGAATCGTTGGAAGGTAAGATTATACAATCTATTAATTGTCTGCATTGTTTTTGTAATGATTTCTTCGTAATATAGCGGCCTTATTGGGCGTAGCTGGGCTATGCTCTTTGCCGGCGTTGGTTATCAAGTTACCATTTACGATATTGAACCAAAACAAATCGAGGTTGCACTCGTGGATATCGAGCAGCAGCTCAATACTTTGGAGAAAGAGGGAATGCTACGCGGAACGCTCAAGGCGGTCCAACAATTCTCCTGCATCAAAGGTGATATAATTAAATTCATATTATTTCAATTGATTTACAATTTTATTCCACTTACGAATAAAAACATACAAACCCGTGATTGCAATGCAAACAGTAAACATTCTTATCATCTTTAGTTGGTCAATGATAAAGGCTCACGTAATAATAAACAACTTGTTACGCCCACTGGTGGAGAGAATGTAAAGCAATTAATATCGATCTTCATCTTATTGGTCCATACGCAACTTTTATTACCAAACCTTAAATGTGATTGGTTCATTTCGAATTCTTTAACCAATGTTTTGAAAACCAATGTATGAAATACTGAAATGAAGAATCGTTTAGGTAGCACAAATTTGGAGGAAGCTGTAAAGGATGCTGTCCTAGTCCAGGAATGTGTTCCTGAAAATCTCGAATTGAAGCGTAAAGTATGGAAGGGAATCGACGACGTAGCTGGACCAAACACGATTTACTCAAGCTCCACTTCGACCTTCATGCCATCATTGTTTTCTGATCATTTGAAGAACAAGTTAGTCNTTTTTTTATAGACAAAACACCGTTGTCTCTCATCCAGTGAATCCACCATACTATGTACCATTGGTTGAGATCGTGCCAGCTCCATGGACCGATCCGAAAGTTGCAAAGAAAACCAGAGAGATCATGGAAGAAATCGGTCAAACACCGGTGAGCTTAAGTAGGGAAATCGAAGGTTTCGTACTGAACAGAATCCAGTACGCTATCCTCAACGAAACTTGGAACCTGATTGCCGATGGTGTTCTGGACGTCAAGGACACCGATAAGGTGATGTCTGATGGTTTGGGAATGAGGTACGCGTTCATGGGTCCTCTGGAGACGGCGCATCTAAACGCTGAAGGATTTGTTAACTATTGCGAGAGATACGCGAACACCATCCACGCAGTGAGCAAGACTTTTAAACCTTTGCCCAAGTTCGAAGGACCACTCGTCAAGGAGATGGCCAAAGATTTGGAGCAGATGGTTCCTCTTGATAAATTGCAAGAAAGGCGCAACTGGCGTGACCTATGCTTGACCAAATTGAGTCAACTTAAAAAAGAGACGCAATAGTTGCGTGTTTCGATTAAAATCTATTTGTATACCTTCATCAAAATTATAAATTTCAAATAATTTATTGTATTTTCTTTGATTTTTTTGAACAAATATAAATCTTAGTATAATAAGGAAGAGTAATTATAAATCATATCGTCTCAAAAATATTATCTAATAGTTTCCAATTGGAGTATGATAACTAGATTACTTGTAGTATAATTAGATTTTTTATTTAGACTTCTTTAGATAATGTTAATCCACTAAGAATTCATCAGATGATTTATGCTGATACAGTTGCATACGTTTAATTAGACAATCAGCGGGTGTTGCCTAAACGATAGGAATTCCTATACTGCGCATGGGATTGGAGCGGTGGGAGTTGGAAGTCAGTCAAATAGCTGCGAGCGTGAGATTCAAATCACCTCACCGTCCAATTGAATTAAATAGTTTTCAATAAAAATAAGTGACCCTGTCGTTTTCCACGTGTCCCCAAGATGTCTCAGCTTTACGTGCGATCCATGGCCGCTCTCGACAAATTCGTCCCTCACAAGTTCCAGCCACTCTGGCAGCATCCAGCTGGTAAGTTGCCGAAGATTCGCAAAGACCACCTGTTGTTTAGACACCTGAGCCGACCTTTCGATCAGAGTGTATTACACTCCAACACATCCCGACACGATAAATATATGCCGAGTCCGGAGTATTCATTTTCTGCTGTGCTTTTCTAGGACCTAAAACTGTTTTCTTTTGGGCTCCGGTTTTCAAATGGGTAAGGCTTCTTCGTCGACACCAGCGAAACCCATTCACTCGCTGCCATCGCATCCTCATCAATTATTTATCAACCAGTATTCATTGAGCCCAATCAAATTCAATTGTCGCCGAACATAATTATTCATTGTTGTTGAACGACTTCAATACCATTCGTAACTTTGACCTTAACGTTTCTCGGCAACTGGAAATGTACAGCGCTTTTGTTGTTGTTGTTCACCTTTCACATGATTTCGCTTTATTTATTTCGTTTTTTTGTTGTTTTGTCTTCGCTCACGGTTGTTCGTTCCAGGGTTTAGTTATTGCTGGGATCAGCGATTTGCAGAGGCCAGCTGATAAGATAAGCGTCTCGCAAACCACGGCTTTGGCGGCCACTGGTATTATTTGGTCGAGGTACTCTCTGGTCATCACGCCCAAGAACTACAGTCTCTTCAGCGTCAATCTGTTCGTTGGAATGACGCAGCTTTACCAGCTATTTAGAGCTATCAGGTACATTTGGATATTTCCATTATTATTTAATTGCGTATAATATCGTTTTATCAAGAAACGCGCGCGATAAGGAATTCAGCGATTATTGCATAATACCGCGCTTATCTATTTGCGAATCGGCCTTATAAAATCTATGAGTAGTCGCATTTCTCTCAACGAACTACGTACTAAAACAGTATAGTTTGTTTACTTTACAATATTTATTTATGTTTCCTATTATATCCACCGCTTTATTTTCTCGTATTTTATCTTTAAAGGCCATATTCAAAGGTTATATAACGTTAAATAAAACATATTATACTTCAAACATAGCTTTGGCTTTTTACCAAGTTTGTAGCAAATTTGGCCATATTACTTACTCTAATGCTACTACACTTTAAGGTGAACTTAACTAGATTATATGTTTTTTAAATAATTAAAAAAAAACATGTTACGTTTAAAATGTAACGACATTATTACTACAACTCGTGATTGCTTAATAATACCTATAACGGTTTAAACACAGAAACGCTAGCAGCATAGGAAATGCAGTTGACCTTGTATAATTTCCTTCGAGGTTGTTTCGACGATTTCTATCAAGTAAACGCAGTTTTATTCTTTTGAAAATAATTCCTATCTTTATATATATATATATTCAACAAGAAACAAAGCATGAATTTACTGCTTAACAGATAATTAGAAATGATCGTGAAACTTGCTGTAGCTTTGTTTCATATAAATTACATAATTAAAATGTATAGTTCTTATAGAATTATATGTTATTATAGTATTTACACATTTAAGAAAAATAATTATTTATGTTTAATTTACTTAAACCCAAGAAAACAAATTTATTAACGTCACCTATTTATGTTTCAGGCATCAAAGGAGTCTTAAAGCGAACTAAATGATTAACCAATTTTTAGTACAATTGTTACGTTAAAGGAAAAACTTCAAAGAAATTATGTAAGTCTATATCAATATTTATTAATTATTCGCAAGTCTCTTGGGATCTGGTTACTGTGATAGATCTAACTTGTTGCTGTTTACCGTATATTTATATATCTTGTAATTATAATTTATATATTTTATACAACCAAATTCGTTGTTTTATTTGTTTTACCCATCGTTCAGCTCTACTAGACCAGTAAAGTTATCTATGAAGATATTTACTACTTGAAAGAGGCAATTAGCAAATGCAAACATTACAATCTTTGTTTTGTATCAAGAGAACAATGAGTGATAATTACACACAAACTATTTATTTGTATTGGCTTTTATAAAGAATATAAATATTTATGGGCTTAAATAAATAACGTTGCGGAATATATTTAGAACGTTAGCTTATAATAAATAATGTATTTATAAAACGGAAATTAGAAACAGGAAAAAAAGTTAACTTACATAACACAGTGTTTTCTTTGCACATCTACAGCTAAGCCAAACGTATACATATTTTGTTGTTGTTGTTCATCGTCGTCGTCGTCATCGTATGTGAGTTGCTATCATTCGAACAGTTTTCTACTCGTTTAGTTTTTCTTTTTCTCCTGCTTTTTATCCAGATTCGCGCAGTCGTTAAAAGGTACATTATCCAATCGAACGGTGTCTTTGGTGATCTTAGCTTCTGCATAAACAAAAAGATGTAAATTTGATTTGATTGTTTTTACTATATTTCATTATTTTGAATTTACCGAATTTTCCTGGAGCCACCTCCCTGGCTTGTATCACAGAAGTCCTCAGTTCCGTTTCGACTGCTTTAGAATACTGAATCAGCTATAAACAAATTTAGTTGTTCAATAAACATTTTGCTTTGTAATTTGTTACTATTATCAGGTATCAATTTGTAAATTGTATAAAGTTTCTATTTAGAAACATTGTATTATTATTAAGTTAAGTTAAGCAACGTGTATCGCGAAAATTTTGCAAATGGTGACTTTTACTGTTTTGAAAATTCAATGTTATTTATTTAAAAAAATGTCTTGTGTACATAATTTTAGTAATATGCATTATTAACACTATAACACCGGTCTATCTAAACAAAAGTAATACAGAGGAACCTCGCTTAACGAGCAAAATGAATTGTAAGAAAAATGACTCGCTTAACGAGCGACGTTTCGCATAACGAGTGACGATGAGANNAGGTTCCACTGTATCAGTTGACAATAAACATTACTTACTTCAGATATAGCATGATTATCCTTGACATGCATGTTCCTCTTGTATTCATCATTGATTTTATCCCTGCTGGCTTTCATAGCATTGGTGTCTCCATCAAAGACAATCTTCCTAGCTCTGTGCAAAAGTTTAAAACTTTGCAAAACCTACAACATTCCCTGATTAATATTGTAAAGTAAATATAAAAGTATACTATAATATTTACCTCTTTACGTAACGTAGAAGCCATATTATCGAAAATTTACAATAAGAAATTTGCACAATCAGTTAGATTTCAGGTTAGAATTCAAATTGGACAAGTATCAAAACATGGATGAAGTTCGTCACGTTACATAATTAAAATTTTGAAATTACAAGAATTTCATTTAAGTGAATATTAAGGATATTCTTAATGTTATATATATATACTGTGAAACAATAATTAACTATGGTAATAGCAGTATTTTTATTAATTGTTTATTAATGTAGGCAACTTAATTTACTTTTTAAATGTATTTACAGTATTTTGGGATTATTTAAGTTAAATTATATTCTAAGACAATAATTACATTGCCTCAATATTGTTCATTATAAATTTAAGCATTTCTTTATAACGAAATGTGAATTAAAACTTAAAGTTTAGATCACCAAGTATACACCTTGTTATAAAATTAAATCATTTTCTAATTATATTTGCATGCATTGTATTGGATAAACGTAGACATGTGCATCAATTAAAGTATTAACAATGTTTGTTCTTTACTGAAAGCAAGCAATTTTTCAATAGAAATATCGTTAAAAAAAATGATGCGTCTGGAATGTATGTGCATCTCATTCTAATGTTAAGCAATGATATTTCCATCGCATTAATTACAATCACACAACGCTTGTACTTCATTTTTTTTTCGCTGTTAACATTTTGAACCAATTAAGGGTTGCCATAATAGTTGCTTTGTTTTTTTTTGTTTTGTTCAAGAGTTTCTTGTTTTTGTTAATGGAATTCATTGATTGGAGACAACCAGAACAAATGCAAGACAACACAACCAGAGTGTGAATCACATGTGAATGAAGTGCAGTGAGTTGTTATTGTTGTTTTTCTTATGGATCAACACAATTGTTGTAGGATCATGAGTGATAAATACATCTTCGAGGATGATTCATCAGTGGTGCAAATGGATAATCATGATGAAGATTTCAATCCTGCAGGCAGTTCCACACTGTCCGAAACATTCATGTCAGCCCAATCTGACAATGAGACACAGTATTTTTCTGTATTTGAAAACAATGAGACAATCTTAGGAGATATGACTCAAGACAATCTGGAAGTTCCACATGTTGATGAGATAGCTGAAGAATTTGAGTTGAACCAAGAAGCTGGAGAGGATACTAGTTCTCAGGAAGTTGTGTTGTTCAGAGTGGATGGATCGGATGCTCTGTATGGTTTCCAGTTGGCTCAAGATGAGGAAGGAAACTTGCAGAAGTATCAGTTTCAAGTCCAGTAAGATTAATAATGTTCTTATTGGGATGTTGGAAATTTTTTATTTTTTATTTTAGGGAGAATAGTGAGGGTCAATTTGAACCTGTCCCAGGAACTATAGAAGTTCTACCATACTCAAGTGAAGATGTTGATTATGTTGAAGAAGGCCAAGAGGATTTAGACAATACAATAACTCCTGAACAGATATACATTAAACAGGAATTTCTATCTTCGGAGGAGTCTCAGGAAGCATTGAACAATCTTGAGAATCATGTTGATGAACAATTGGAGCACTCAGGTGTGTTTTATGAAAAGGAAGTTCCATTAATAAAAAATATTAAGGTGGAAGATCCCAAATCAGGTACAATCATGTTTGTGGTGAATGAAATATTAGTAATCTTTTTGTTATTTATTAGCGGAATTGTTGGATTCGTATCATATGTATTTGGAGAGTGATCACACTGCCGAAGAGATTCAGACCAATCAAATACAGACTGAAGAGCCCAGTGTTGACTTAGATTACGAGGATATATATTTAACCGATAGCCAATATGTGGCCGAGTCTCATAATCCTGAAATATTGGTGAATAATGAGGATTCCGTTGAAGTGCAGGAAGAGCAAAATGCGATGGTCAAACAGATTTTCTTGGAAACTGGAAATGATGACAGCTACGGTTCCGCCAGTACGTACTACGAGTCGATCGATGAATATCACGATGATCCTGATCAGGATATTCATAATAACGTAGAGGAAGTGGACGAAGAAGAGGAGGAATATATATCTTATGTGGTGAAGAGTCCAGAGAAAGAGAACATAGAGGTCCCTAGGACGTACAGGACAATTCATATGAATCCTAGGAGCGTTTTGAAATCGACGGCTTTGGCATTAGCTGAGCAGCGACCACAGCCAGAGTACGACAAGAGATTTGCGAAGGGGAAAGTGGCGATGCAGGCTCGACAAATGCATAATTATATTTCACAGACGAAGATTTTGGAGGCACCGGTAAGATTGGAACGTCTACCGCGGAAGCAGAAGATCAAACCTCTTGAACGGGTTGGAGAGGAGATTGTACTAGAAGAAGTGGTTGTCTCCTCCAATGGATTCATTCAGATATCTAGAGACGGCGTTGTCAGGGAGCGCAAGCTGATCGTACCGACGGCTTGCATCCAGCTTAGCGATTCCGAGGAAGATGGGAAAGCTAAGAAGCGTAAGAAACGAAGCAAAAAATCCAAACAGGTTGAAATTGTTATCAGCGATTCGGAAGATGAAGTCGTCAAACCGAAGTTGAAGAGGGACGAGGAAAATGGAAAAAAATTGGAGAACCAGTGTTCGAAGTGTCCGAAGAGTTTCCCTAGCGTTGGCAGTTTGAGAACGCATCTACAGTACCACAACTTTGAGGAGTCTGAAAAGTTGAAACAAAAAGAAAGGACGGCCAGTAGCACAAATAAATATATGTGCGAGATTTGCGGAGATTGCTTCAAGAATATGGTATTGCTCACGAGGCATGTCTCTATGCACAATAAGAAGGTTGGGAAGAAGGAATGCACTGTCTGCAAGAAACTGTTTGCAAACGCTCAGCAACTGACGGTGCACGGGCGAAGCCACGTGAAGGAGCAGATGTTTAAAGCTACCACAACCTTTAACAAAACGCCAAAGAAGCAGCTGTTGAAACGCAGCATAGCTAAGAGCAGTTTGCAGTGCCAGGACTGCGGCAGGACCTTCTCCACGAGTACCCTGTTGGAGTCCCACGTGAAATTACATAAACGTTTTGCGTGCAGATCATGTTCACTTACGTTCCTCTCAAAGTACCTTCTGGATGCCCACATGCGCACCAAGTGCGTAAAGTCACCTATGCTCAAGTCGAAGAAAGTCAAATTGAAATCTCCACATATTTGGAAATTGAATTGTGATAAATGCGATGCCGTCTTCTTCACCTACAGAGATTGTTTCACACACAAGGTGAACGAGCACGGATTGGTGGGATCAGTTGGTAAGGCTGTTAGGAAGAGCACGTACAGTAGACCGAGTGAACACAGCGGAATACCAGCCAGTAAACGACTGAGGGAGGCTTTCGCCGGCTTAAAGAATACCATACAGAATAATTGATGAAAGCACTCCATTCAGAGTGATCTAATAAGAAACCCCACAATCGTTAAAAAAAAATATAAAGTGTTCTTATTATTTAACTCTAGCTGCAAGGACATTCAATGCCCACATTTTTTGTATTGGATTTCATTTGTTTAGTCCCCACAGCGACATGATTAATGCCGTAACTGCCTTTATTAAGGATACGCAGCCGAAGCTGCCTGTTTGTTGTATATACTCTATTTTTGAGATGAGAAAACAATTTCTCTGAAAAAGAAGGAAATATATGCTTTGTTGAACTGAACTCTTTAAATATTCGATAATTATGTTTTAGTTAATAGTCTACGCAAACACCGCGTACACAGTTACATATGTTTTAGTTAATGATTTTTTTTGTAATAATCTAAGCAAAAAAAAAATACACAAAGACAATATAATGAATTTTACTTCCCTAATGGTAACGCATACTTGTGATATTCCGGGAAGTAAAAACTAATTCTCCATTTGGGGTTTTCTAAATAAACTAAGATCACCGTTACACGACAGAAATCCACAATGTTTTCACACTAAAAAAATGCAAAGTGTATATATATATATAATATTTTTATATTTAAGTTCGATCTGTTGAAATTTATTTTTTATAAGTAAAAAAAAATAAAGTAGAATTACAACATTATTAAATTGTTTCATTCATAAACCATTCTTCATATTTTATTTATAGTAATTATATTTTTTGGAGTTATCCAGGATTGAATTGCTGATGATTAAGTAATAATAGAGATTTGTAATTATAAAATTTTCTTATTCTTTATTTAAAATACAGAGACAGAATCACCGTTCGTTCGTCCATCTTAAATAACGGTGGGCGCCTCTTTTAATTAGCATCAGAACCAATCAGAACATCTGATGATTAGCTTAAAAATTACATTAGTTATTTATAAAATTAAGTAGCTGCATTTACTTATCAATTACGTAATATGTACACAAATAGAGAATTTGAGATCTTACATACAATAATATCTATATATTATAACATAAAAAAAAATAATGTATTTGAACATAATATCACAATTTTCCTTTCATTTAAATAGTAGTTGTAGTTATGTTACTAATTTAGGGCGCTACGTTTTGGGCTTAAATCTAGACATGTAAAATTCGCAGTCCGCGCAATAGAGAGTTGCGGAGGAGACGGTCTTTTTTCTACATAAATTACACTTTACACCTTTGTTCACGTTGTTCATGATGTTGGTGTTGTTGTTGATATTATTGTTCATGTTGTTGTTGACAATGATTGGGGTGACAATGGCCTTGGGCGTCGGCGATTCGGCGCCGCCCTTTGTGCCAGGTTCGAAGCTGACTTGTTTCTTTAAGAGTTGTTTGGGAGGGAGCGTCTGCAGGTAGGGAGATATCTGTTCAGGGGTAGTCTTGTAGCCGTTGGGAGGAGGAACTCGTAGGTACGGGGACGTTTGCTGTTCTTGCGGTGGAAAGTTTTGGGGAGGGACGCGTTGATAAGGTGAATTATCGTTGTAATCTTGTGGGATTCTTTGGTAAGGAGATGTTGAATTAGGATCTGCGATGTTCTGCGGTCGTTGGGCGGGATAATCCTGGGGCATCGGCACTCTTTGATATTGTGGGTACTGGTAAGGTATCCTTTGATTGTTGTAGCTCTGAGTGGATGGTGAAGGAGACGGGGGATGCTGGTAAATCGGAGCCTGCTGATAGTTGAGGGTCGGCGATTGTCGCACCGGATATTTCTGCATTTGGGCGTACTGCTCCTGCTGCTGGTACCTATTGTACTGTCTGTAATTGTTCTGAGGACTGGTCCCATACAACTGTTGGTACCTTTGATCCATCTGCGGCGGGTTTTGAATGATGTAATCGCGTTCCTCCCGCGACAAACTGGTCTGCATGCCCGCCGGTCTCGACAGAAGATTGTCAAGAGAGTTTTGTCTCACGTACATCTGATTCATCGGCGGATAATTCTGTTGTTGCTGCTGCTGCTGTAGTGGCTGCTGTGGGCTGTAGTTAATTTGCTCTCCATTGTATTGAGGCATCCTCCTCACATCTTGTTGCGGCGAATAAGTTTGTTGATCCACATAGTTCATCTTTCCAACATACGTGGGTTCTTCTTCCACCTCCTTCTCATCGTTTTCCTTTCTCATCTCAATCTCGCGTAAAGACATGATCTCCTGTCTAATTGCAGCTGCTTCCGGTTTATGGATTGCGCTCCTCAAGACCCGCTCCAAAATCGGATTCGGTATGTAACTATCATCCTCTTGCTCTTCAGCTGTAGCCACCAAGATAACTTGATCGCAAAACGAAACGCTTTTCTTCTTAGCCAATTTCCTCTTGCTATCGTTATCTTCAGGGTGAAGAGTTTTCTGCACGACAGCGTTCAACATTTCAACTTCTCTGATCTCTTGAGCGATTTGCTCGGGTGCTACGAAATTGCTAGTGTCGTTTTCATCACGTTTCTTCAACGATAAAACGCCAGTCTGCACGGTATTGTCGGCTTTGTAGTTTTGGAAATATTGAGCCGCTTCGTATTTCGTTTCAGGGATGTTTTCGAAACGCGAGGCTAAGTCTTTAACGGAAGTGATCTTGGCTTCGCTTTGGATCGGCTCGCAAGAAATTTTATTTATCATCATTTGCTGATTGGGATCCACGTTCGGATCAGCGTTTCTTTTCATTCGTAAAGCTGCTTGCTTGGCCTGCAATTCTCTTAGCCAATTCTCTCCACTCGACTGTTTCACTTCTGTGTGAGGCAAATGGTCTTGCGAGAGTATCTCTTGCCGTTTATTTTGCAGTTGTGCTAGAAGCGAGTTAGGAGTGGCTTCGAGCGATGGGAGATATTCATCTAAAGCACTTAGATCCAAAGGTGGCGGAGGTGGAGGGAATTCTTCGCTTGGTTGGCGCGAGTGCATTGCGGAAACTGCCGGACTCGGATAAGGAGGTAAATCCATACTTGGGACGAAGCAATCGACTTCGTCTACTCCGCTATCGATCTGATAGGAGGGCTGTTTTGCTGGACTCTGCTCCTGATGGACGTCGGCCGTAGTTATCACCGTGTTGATCACTGTGTTGTGATTCTGGTAGATCTCGTAGTTGTTCTGATAGTAGTTGGTGTCTTGCGGAAGCGAATACATGGGTCGCACACTCTTCTCTTCTTCTCCGCCGTTTAATAACTTAGACTTGCTAAGCTGGGAAGTCGTTCTGAGTGGCGGAGGCGGCGGAACTTTGGCGGCCGTCAGCACCTTTCCGGCGTTCCCGTGGAAGCTCTTCCTCATCAACTTACTGCGCTCCAGATTCGGATTGGTGCTGTTGAACTCCAAGTGTCCCTCCGACAAATACCCACTGATGGTGCTTGTCTCCGTTTTCTGTACACCTAAACCACTATCATCCACGGAAACCGGTTTCTCTTCAACCTTATCCCCTCCTTCGGTCAAATCCGGCATACTTCTGTTCTTCCTCCTAATCAAACCGCCCATCAATAATTTCCTCCTGATCTTGTGCTGCTTCTTTCCACTTTTATCTTTTTTATCCTCCTTCTCTTCCTTGTTCTTCTCGCGTTTTAGAGTATCTTTGGTGTTCGACAAGGTTTCCGGCGCTAACGAGAAATCTTTGGACAATTTCAACCTGTCCTCACTCCTGGACCGTTTTTCCTTAATTTTGTTAGCTTCCTTATTGCGAGACCGCGAAAAAATACTTCGCGTTTCCCTTTCCGGCGGTTTGTCGTAAATCATGTACTCCTCATCTTCAATGTTCACGCTGCTCATCTTATTCTTTAAGTCTTTTTTCTTGGGCAGAGTCGCGTAAATCTCGATGTTCTTAATGGGAGCCTTTTCCGGTTGAGACACCGGAAGTGCGTTCAAGAGTTCCCTGCTGTTTTGCCGTGAATGCATGCCCTTCTCGCGGGAATTCTGCCGCGAATGACGTCCGCTTCCGCTGCTTCCTTCGCGCGTATGCCGAATCTCGATGGGATTCTCTTTAGGTGCTGGATTCTGCGTTTGAGTCATCCTGCGATGCAAACTTCTTGCGCGCATTATGCAAGTGCTATGTTTCATCATCGCCAATGTGAGAGTTTGCTGATTATTGTAAGGCGCATTCATTGCAGCTCTGGCCTTTGTTGCTGCTGCGTTGCATAAAGCCAAAGCTAAGACCAAATCGTGCTTATCTTCCAATTGCCGAGATGTGCTTAACAGTTCATCGGCTTCGTCGCAAAGTTCATCGCAGCTGGGCATCGAGACGCGCTGTTGGACATTGCTGTAGTCTTCAGGGATTTTGGCCAAGTGTCCCATTTTCATTAAATGCTGAATCGTGGACATGGTAGAACTATCGTTCGAGGATAACGAGTAGGAATCGTATCCGGCATCGTAGACACCGCTGCTTCCGCTTGAACAGTCGCTCTTCCCTCTGGTTGGGCTTCCTGGGAGACTTCCATTCCCATGTGGCATTTTACCCACCAAATACAAATACGGATTTTCCATCGTTGTTGATGATGAGGACGAGGCGCTATTCCTATCTCCGCTCCAATTACCGGAATCTCTTCGCCTCGCTACGTTAAGATGTTCTGGGATATTAATTCCATCCGTATTCGATGAGCTATTACTCAACGTTCTGTGGATGTTCACCTGCGGTTTAGCGAATTGTTGCATGCTTAAGACGTTTTCCACAGTTTTACGTGTTATGTATTCAGCCTCTTTGCCCATATCACCATCGACCTCATCAACACCGTTCAATCCGTAAATATTATCTTGTATAACCGAAAGGTTTTGATATTCGTTCAAATTCTTTAGGAGAGGTGGCGTCTGCGCCAAAGTCCTATCTGGGTTGGGCGTTATGGCTCTTCGAGTGTTACCAATGTTTGGTTTCTCGGGACTCGGGGTAATCGATCTCCTTAGAGTCCTTTTGTTGTCGTTACCATTAAAAGGCGTTATTTGTTTAGGAGCGTTTTCCGTGCAAACAGGACTGCCTCCCGGGACCGCGTATAAAAGTAGAAGAGGTTGATATCTTCCTCTCCTGCATTTCTCAACGACTTGATCCCACCTAGGCCCAACCTCTCTAACGGTCGCATCATCGAAGTAGATCCACACCCTCAGCTTCGTGTGAAAGAAAAACGTCGAGTAATGTTTTCCGTAGTAAGTCACGACTCCGACCAAATTGTGAGTGGTCATATCAGCCCATCTGTTATCGACGACGCTGTGGAAGACATCGCTTAGTCTCAGCGTTGTACCGACTGTGGCGAAGACGTCCATGATGTGCTCCAGAGTAGGACGCTCCGAATCCCATACAATGCCCACGGAAACTATTTCCGGTCTGTTCATCAGGGTACGGCAGATTTGAATCTTCGCGCCGCAAGAGCTCTGTACAGAATTCAAGTTAATTAATTAATTGTTTATTTAATTGGATGAGCGTCGTTTCACTTACGGGACAATCTCTGATATCGCCCATACTTCCGGCCTTCTTGAGCAAAAGCCCAAAAGTATCCTGGATCCCGATATTGGTAGAATTCATGCTCTGCCTGACCTGTGTTGTGAGAGCGGAAGCGGACACGTAATGAACCATCTGCAAACGGCGGACAAAAAAAAAACGTACGTACAGTTAATGAATGTAATTACAAACGCAAGTGCAGTTGTTATTTGAATTGTTCGAGGAGATGAGCGCATCGCGACTCAAGATCCAAGGCTAATGCGATGTTTACCTGAGTAAAGGATAGAGGTTCAGAGGTGGCGTTGCACGCTCCGCAGATGCTTTGCTCCACCAAAGTCATGGCGAACTTCTGGTGCGGAATGCAGTGTCTAGCGTTGCACATATCCTCGGCTTCACCATGCGCGATATGCATATGGATCCGCAGCAGCATATTTTCGAAGCACTCGGCGGCGTCGTCCATGAAGCCCAGCTGAAACCTTTGCTGGTCGAAGAAGCTTTCAGCGAGCGCCCTTCGAAGGGCGTCGGGTGGCAAAGCCGTCTCATGGCTGAACTGGAGTTGCGAGAAGAGTTCCTGGAAAGGAAAAAAAATACAATTTACTATTTGTCGTAGAAATTAACTGTAAATGGGCCCAACCCAAACAGACGACACCATGTCCTAACCATTAGACATCCGCGGCACGGAATTCACTGGAATTCGCTCGCCTTTGTATTCGCAACGCTCTTCAAACAACACTTATGAAAATCATTTTCACACATCCTAGTAATGAATCAACAGAGCAATTCTTTTACTAATTACTAGGTAATAACCATAACATGCAAATACTCCTACTTACATAAACAAATATAATATGTACATTCGAAACATATGTTTAGAAGAGAGCAGTCAATTTACCATGTAACGAGTTACAGAGAAAAAAAAACTTCAGTTATGCAGATTCAAAGTGTAGACGTCTAGATGAGATCAATAGATGTAATAATATATCCAAACAAAAGATCTAGGTTACGGAGTATTATAATGTACAGATTGGAGAGAAAAAAAAATTAATGAACTATTAACGTTGCGAAAAGGAGACAAGACATAGCGTAATACGCTTTTAATTGTTGGCTTTCTTGAGTTGTCCAAGGTTCAAAGTTGATTGGAATTTCCGTTATAAACCCGAGCCAACCTACTTCTGCTCCGGCAGAGAGACCACCATTCGTTCGTTCCATCCATGCATCGTCTCTCGGAAGTGAAGAGCATAATGGTATGTGAATTTACGTGGAAAGAAAGAGTCCGCAGCATTCGTCTACCTGCAAGGCGAGTTATCGCCGCGGGCCGCATTGCCCCCAAAAAAAAGAAGCGGACCCAGAAGAGCGCTCGCTGCTTTACGTAACCCGATTTTCAGACTTTTAAATTTCCAGTCAGCAAGCAGCGGATCAATCTTTGTTTAAACCGAATTGAATTTTTCTTCAATAGAAATTTTTGGTGGTAAATTGAGTGTATCCATATTTTGTAATTGTTCCCGTTGCAGGTCAGATATCTGAGTCAGAAAGCTGTGACTGTTCGTTCTTCGAAATACGAAGACAAAGTTGAAAATGATAAATGGAACGGTCATATTTTTTGGAGCCGCTGCATAAAAGCGCTCTCGGCTCTCTATTCTCGATAAAAGTCATGGTCACGTCAAGAGCCTTTGCGTTTCTTTTGTTCACATTTACTATTTTTTTTTTCTTATGTCCTATTAGTTGTAATAAATAAATGTATGAAAAGTTCACACGAGTTATGAAAGGTAATTGCATATTAAATAGCGTACGAGAAGAGGTTCAAACACAAAACAACATAAATTTTAAATTTACCTCAACCGACATTTATTAATTAACAATCAGTTAACTTTTACTTTATTCACAAATCCATTTTTTTTTTAAACTTAAGAATTAAACTTGAAGCACCTGGTTCATGTTAAAGATTACGCATTTCCTTAGTTGCAAGATAAAGGTAAATTCCCATGGAAACCCATATAAATATGCATCTGCTGTAGTTCTAAATCCCATTCTCAGGAAAGGTATATCAAAGAAAAGTCCTAATCCTCGAACACATTTTATTTTTTTTTTATTTTGATCTGCAGGTAAGAAGTCTTAACTTTGAGTTTAGAGAAAATATATCATCTGTTAAGTTAACTTAGTGGTCGGCAATCTGCGGCTCCGAAACGGCTCTTATAATGAGATATCAAAGCGATTGCCGATCCCTGAGTTAACCCTTCCTTCCATCTAGATTAGTCCCAAAATAGGAACATTAGTTACGCATTTTAAACAAATTTAATATTCAAAATCCATTAAAAACCCACTAAGTGTGATCACCTGTTGAATGTTGAATCGGTCATTAGACTAGACTTTGAGGTTGTTAAATGACAAAAGTCCATGACTTATTTAAATGCAATTAATACACAATACATTTATATATCGCAGATATTATACACTAAAATTAATATTCACAAATCTTGAATGCATTCCGCCTACATGTTGCAAACCTATTATATAACTTTTTTTTTTAAATAAAAGTCAACATTCCATTGTATTAACGAATCAGAGAATAAAAAAAAATAATGCTGCAACGTATAGTTGACCCTGGTTATTATAAGAAATGTTGAAAAAGTTTCATGAAATTTCAACCTTTCCATGCACGAAGGTTGCACCGCACCCGAGCTTCAACGCCAATTTCTCAATACGTTCGTGTGCGTACGTTAATTGTAATTAGTTTACTAAGAATCGAAGCAATCAATTCAAGATTTGAATATGTAAAGTTAATATGTTATCACATAATTATTGGTTTTATAAACATGATAATGTGTCTAGTAAATATAAATAATATTTACATGCGCCTATAAGTTTATTCACTCGAATCACGCGTATTATATACGAGTCTGCAGACACGTAAAATGCCATTACGTTGTTAGAATAACTGACAGTATTTGTACGTACATTTACGCTTTTGAGTAAGAACCTTGCATATTTTAATAATAAACATCAGTTGATTTTGTTTGTTGTTATTCAAATGTACGTGGAGTTGGTTTCCTCTCGGCGCAGCCTACATTGCATATTTAGTTGTTTACCTTTCCATTTCCACTTCAATCATCCCTTGATGTTTCACGTTGAATAACTTATTAGATCAATTATAATTGTTCAAAGTCAACAAAACAAAACATTTATAGTATGAAATCAAACTAAATATTTACGTAAATGTTGTAACAATGATCAGAACTGTACAAAATATCTAAACAAAAGTAATTTTCTCCATATTTGTACAATGAATACATATTTTTATCAATAAATATAATGAAATTGCGAATGACTAAAACTGTATATTTTTTTTGTGTGAATTTTACCTTTACCAGGTAAATTTATAATGAGAATATAACTGGATATACAAGACGCTGCATTAACAAACGCTTTGCTCCGCTTGAATACGAATCGTCGAAGCGCCGTTACTTTTTTTTTATATATTCAATTTAATTATAATATTGTATAGAAACGCTTTGAATAAAAAAGTATAATAATTTAAGAAAATTTTAAATCTATGAAGAATCAAATAGATTAAGATATATAGAAATTGTAATTCATATAACAAAGAAAACACAAACTTTTATAACAGATTTTCATAACTTTTCGGTTATAATGAAACGTAAATCAACAAATACAGAAATGTTCAAAAATTGTATAAACTATAGGTATATAAAAAAAGACATAGATGTTTGAGAACGTTATATAATAACTTTTATATTTATTTATAATAATGCACTTTCAATAAACTAATTAATAAGAATGTTTGGTTTTTAAGAGTTGTCTATATGCTATAGGTATGAAAGAAAACAAATAAGAACAAATCTGTTTTGAGAAATGGATAAATTTTTAGGGGTTGTAAAGTAAGACAAAGAAAGCACGAAATTATGATTTGGAACGTGAGGTTTTCGTAATACCTTTTCGGTTAATGGGTTTTTCTGAGGCGAGTGAGAGATCTTTCTGATTTTATACCTGAGTCACGAAAGTCCCGCTCTCCGAGGTAGGTAATTGATTCTTAGAAAATAAGGAAAAGGTACGGCAGAAGAAAGACGCGGCGAGTAGGAGGTCATCCCGCATCTCTCTCTTAAAAGGGCATTGCTATTTAAATTTCATCAAAAAAAAAACCCTCCATCACACTCACTCTGAATCCTTTAATCAAATTATCCTCATTGACGCTGTGGCCGTTCGATGCGTTAGTAATAATAATATCCTTATTGTTGTTATCCTCGATAATAACCGGTGCTGTTGTATTCGCGGTTGTGATCGGCGACTGCTGTCGTTTCTGCTGCTCCTGTTGCTGCACCGCGACCGTCGCGGGCTTTTTGTATCTAAACTTGTTGATCATATCGGAAGACACAGCACTGGTACACCTGAAGAGTTCATACCACAAGAAAACAACTCGGGAGAGGATCAACGCACGAACTCACATATACACATATACAAAGATCGGACGGACACACCTTTCTCTCAGCGCTCTTCACGTAAGACTGAAACTTTCAAACGCTCCGCTCTTGTAACCAACGCAAGAGCACTCTCCTCAACGCGTGGGCATTCGCAAAGTTACCACGCAGCACAGGTAGGTAACTTACCTTGAGGTAACTTGCCTGACTACACACACAAAAGGCACACATTTCCTCAAAAATAAGCCTGAAGGGTGGACAGCACAAAAGAAACCCCATTCCTCAAAAACTTTTTTTTTTATCCTTCGCACAGATTATGAACCACCCCTGTTTTCTTTTTTTATTCCATCCGAAGAATGATCATAAATTTTTTAAAGCACTCTACGTGACCAATAAAATTCTGTTGAACATAATCCAGAACACGTAGTTCTCTATTTCCACCTGAATTCATTCCTCCAAGTCACCCTTTTGCAATGAACATAATTTTATGAGAATTTTACGTGACTCTTTCTGTTTATTAACAATTTGGAACCTTCAATTTTCTTTACTTGTTTTTCCCATCAAATTTTACTTTGTCAACAGTATTATTCAATAAAAATAACTAATTAACAATTTGTCAAATTACACTTATTTCAATACGTTTTTACTTCAATTTCAGTTCCATTTTACTGATTTTTCCTATTCAATTTACGTGACTACTAAAAAATTCTACAAATTAAATTCATAACACGTATTTCACTAATATTCATTTGATCCTGAATTTTCTGTTCTATTTCATAAATTTTTCCATTAAATTTTTCAATTTCTTTTCCTGAAATTTCATCTGACTAATAAACTATTAGTCAAACAAAAATCGTAACTCGTATTTCATTATTTTTTCACCTAAATTTCCTTCAATTTGTATAATAATAAAAAAAAAATCAGGAAACAATAGAGTTTCACTAGATAATAGCATTCCATAATTTACGCATCTAAAAATAGAAGTCCCTAAAAGCTTCTGCTTTCTCAAAACGCTCGCGCTCTATTTTTGGTCTCATTCTCGCTATTTTTAATCGGACAATCTCACGCCGAGAAACTTTGCACAAATAATCGTAAATATAACTACGACTCCTTTTAGAAACATCATACGCCTGCTTAACCTTTTCTATTAACGTATTGAATAATGAATAATTATACTCTCGAGTGTTGTGTTTATTACAGACTGTTTACAATTGCCGCCCTTTTTTTTGTGTACAGAAACATATCCTTCATAATATTTAGAATTATTTAATACACATTATATAATATTTAATATAATCATTACATGTAACAGCGTTTCTCAACTTTAAAAAAAAATGACACTTTGATACAAGTTGACAGCTGTCGTCTTTTGAAAAACGTCAATCATAATATTCAATGGTTGCTATTACAACTACGTCTCAATTGATATAATATAAAAAAATGACATTTTGACACAAGTTGACAGCTGTCACCTTTTTAAAACGTCAATCATAATATTCAATGGTTGCTATTACTTGCTATTATTATATAAAACTATAATTGAATAATTATAATTTAAGAACAAACTTTTTATAGGAATATTTAATAAAATCACTATATGTAACAACGTTTGTCAACCTTTTTCTTACTCGACCCAAAATATCAGTATAACTACATCTCAATTGTTATAATATAAAAAAATGACATTTTGACACAAGTTGACAGCTGTCATTCTTTTAAAACTGTCAATCATAATATTCAATGTCTACTATTATTTGCTATTATTATATAAATCTAGAATTTAAGAACAAACTTGTTATAGGAATATTTAATATAATCACTATATGTAACCGAGTTTCTCAACCTTTTGCAGTAGAACTACGTCTCAATTGATATAATATAAAAAAATGACATTTTGACATCTTTTAAAACTGTCAATCATAATATTCAATGTCTACTATTATTTGCTATTATTATATAAATCTAGAATTTAAGAAGAAACTTGTAATAAAATAATTAATATTATTAACATTAATTATTTATAATATAACATATTTGACACTGCGTCAAAAGTGACAGCTGTCACTTTTTGAAAAACGCCAATCATTTACAAGTTATTATTATATAAGTCTATAATTGTATAACTACAAGTTAAGAACAAATTTGTTATATGAATAAAAATTGTATAAAATAATGCAACAACAATTAATAAAACGGTTACATTTTAATTGATACATCAAAGTCTGACGTTCTTTACGACTTTTTCCTTTTGCGTACAGTTATTAAACATTTTTATGTTAATGTTATAATATAATACGATAAATTATACACACCTATTTGTTATTTATTAAATTTCCTATAAATATCGGAACTAATAATATTTGCAATTTTTATTAGATTTTTGCTTCCACTTTCTATAAGATTCTTTATAACAAAATCGTTCAAAATTAGGAAAATATATAGAATATTGTTGTTTTTAATCAATTTTAACTAACAAATAAAAATTTGATGACTTTTTGATTTAAAAGATTTTTTTATAGTAAATATTAAACCAACAATTTATTTAAAATGAGAATAATATTACAATTTTAGTGAAGTTTACAAAGTTAGAAAGTGTTCCAAATTACCAAGAAACCAGCTCATATTATTTTATTCATGTAAAAGTAGCAAACAAAACTGTGTATCTCAAATGAAAACACTACAAATTCTTGTCTACATTACTCGTAAACAACACAACGAAACTGGTTAGTCTGCTTCTTTAATTGTTACGAGTAATAAGATCAAATATGCAATGGATTTATGAATTATGTATACTAAAAGATGACTAACTATGATTGTACACATTTAAAAAAAAATATTTATTTAAAAAAGCAAAATTTACAAGAACAGATGGATAATATTTATTATATACAACGCTCATTATATAACAAAGAGCTGATGGCCATATGTCTTTTTACACGGAGGAAAAGTTCTTCATATTTCAAGGATTTTACAATTACATTAGATTTCAAGAAATTCGTCAAATCTTAATGTTTTTATTTATAATTTTCAAATTATTTTAAGAATCAATAACAAATTTTAATTATTAAGTTCTTTTTTTTATCAGAAGATATCTGGTTTCTTTAGTTTTCTTATATTATTAAAAAACAGAAGATTTTTCAGATTTACTCAAATAAACATGTTTTTCTGTATGAAAATAATTTTTGTTGTTTAAAATCTTAGGAGTTATTTCTGAGATGTACTCATCATGGTATTAAAATAATTACCGTGTCATCCGCATACCTTATGTTGTTTATGCATTTTCGCATCTTCATTTATTCATGCGAGTTTTAATACTACAATCACGATTTCTAACTACGCAAGAAAAATGTAATTAGTAAAAACATCAACAATATTCATAAATATAAATATTCTGAAATTACAATTTACGTTTTCAAAAGAAACAAAAAAGTGTTAAAAGAATTATGAACTTAAATTTGTAATGTTAATATCGACTAATGACATAATCCCATGTATCGATTGCAAAATGACATTACTTAATGAAATAATTACATGGTAATTACAGACTGACTCTGAGGCACCCAAAAGAAAAAGTAATAAAGAGGAGGAACAAAACACGAGGAGAAAGTTTCGAAAATAAACTTAGGGAACATCATCGCATTGTTTCCATTGTAAAATGTCAGCGACTGTAGTGAAATTCATTTTTGGCTCGGATTCAAATATGAAATATCGCACCACCAAAAACGCATAAGTTTTGAACAATTTGCGTTGATTTAGTTTACATAAATTTTGTTCGTTGCATAATGAACACAACTATTTATGCCGCGCAAATACACAACTGGTATTTCTGCATTCCATAAATTATGCAACATTAAATATAATTGATGTTATATAATACAATGATATATTTGAACATTTCATAATATTGAAATAGAAAAATTAATGTTGTAAAAGAAACTGAGAAAAAATGTTTTTTTTATATAAGTAATTAAAGACAGAAAAGTATGAATATTTATTGTTATGGCTGTGTTTGCTTTTTATACACACTCAACTCTTGATTTACTTCGTGTTGATTTTAAGTGCACTTCTTGTGACCTCTCTAAGTTACATGTATAAACGATATAAATTGTTGCAAATTTCTCTATAAAAAGTCTTTAGATGGTCCAAATGAATCGAATTGAAGCGGGACAAAACACGAAGTCGGCTGTTAATTATAAACTGTGAGAGAAGAAAATCTCAAACGTTTAATTAAAATTCCTAGGGTCTTTTCTCTATTTTCGTTTTTGTTTTCTCTTCTTTTCGGTTTTCGTTTCGTTTTTCGTGCTGCTCTAATTTATTCCCAAGAACTCCTCATTGTTCCCGCATTTCACCAATGATGATGATGATGAGAAGAACCCGTTGGAAACGCGAAGAATTGTATCCTTCTTGTCGTGCGGTTCGTACGTTCTCCTTTGCTTTTTCCCGGGTTTCTCGTGTTGTTTTGTTTCCATCAGGGTTCAAATATTCGGAAAAAATGGAGAAATGCAAATGCGTACGTTCTATTTGTTGTTTATTAAATTTCCTATAAAATTAGGAAGTAATAACATTTGCAATTTTATTAGATTTTTTGCTTCAATTTTATATAAGATTTCTCAATCCATTAACTTTGTTAGAAAAAATCATATTTGATTTAAAGATTATTTTAGTTATTATATTTACAATGAGATTAATAATACAATTTGTAAAAGAAAATGAAAAAAAAGAATGTTTTTTTTTTATAAGTAATTAAAGACAGAAAAATATGAATATTTGTAAAACTACATAATTAAATAAGGATACTAAAATATAATTGTAGTCGGTATGTTATAAAGTAAACATTAAAGAACTAGTTTATAAAAAATGAACGGTTTCTGATCACGGTCTTCGAACTAGATGATAAAAATAATATTTCACATTTTAGTATGCACCAATTCACGTGATAAGTGTTAATAGCTCGAGCACATAGCATGTATTTTTGTTTGTTTTTTTGGTCGAAGCTTTTGCCATATGAATAATTCCAATGTCGGCAATCCGTCGAACGTCTTGCAAAATAAATTCCAATTTCCTTCGCAAAATCGTTACGACACGCGTAACTGAGTC